CCCCAAAACCCCAAAACCCCAAAACCCCTATTTCACAGATCCAGATTGAAAGCATTTATTTAAGAACCGCAACTTAAGAATCAAGGATATAGATTAATAGCATTTGTCTAATTTTCAGTAAAACTTCACCATTCCTTCACAGCAATATGGTTTTTACAAATCTGAGCGGTAATCAGTGAATCCATTTCTAGGCTTTGTTATTTCCTCGCCATAGTAATCGATCACAGTACAAGCAGGGTAGTATTCCTTCATCTGTTGCAGCACAGGCTTGGATAGGTAATTACACATCTTAAAATTTATCTCAAACAATTTTAGAGGAAAGATTTCTTCGTCTTGAGAGAGTCTAGTCTCGTTGATTTCGAACAATTTAGAGAAAACAGAGTCGTTGATAGTCTTTATACCTGATAAGCTTATCTTTTCGAGGTTTCAGCAGTTGAGCAAGAGGTGCTCGATGGCTGTAGAATCTATCTTTACACACCATTCTGAGCTGTAGGATTTCAGAACAGTTCAGTTCACAGCAATCTTATTTTACTCATTCTGTGTCTAGATGTGTGCACTCATCTAGGATTAGTGTATGCAAAACTGGAAATTGGTTATTAAAAAAAGAACAAGAGATCTTGTTCTAAGAAATTATCGTTCTTTCTAATTACCAATTTTTCAAGTGTTTGATTATGTTTCAAGAGCACTTTGAGAAGTTCTGAGCTAGCTGAGTTTCCATAATAAATGCATAGTTCTTCTAGGATATTCAGTTTTTCAATAATTTCAGTGAGTTCTTCTCCGTCCATACCTTCTCCATCAAGTTTAACACTTCTGAGGGTCTCTGAGTTATTCTCCACAAGCATTTGGATATGACTAGATTCGACTTGGTGACTTCCGCTCAAATTGAGCTTCTTTAATCAATTTGTCTTGACTATTGGGAAGTACTCTCCCTCAAGGAATATGCAGTCTGATATTTTGAGTTCTTCAAGATTATAGAAGCCTGCTATAAGTCCTATCATGATCTCTGTGCAATAGGAATCGAACTTTAACACCTTCATTGAGTCTTTTAGTGTGTCAGATTCACCAATTGCTTCAAGGAAGGTCTTAATCTCATCAGCATAAAGCTCATTCTTCTCATTCCTGTTCGAACGAAGGAAGGTTACTTCTAGCTTTTCGACTGTTTTTCAGATATTTCCAACTGCTATGAGGAAGTATCTGATTCATTTTATAGCTGTAGAGAAAATATAGTCATCATCTCATATATCAGTATTATTGAAGTTGAGGCTGATAGACTTAATAATCTGCTTTTTGCTTGCTATTTCAATTATAAAGTGAACTTGTTGATAGATTTGTTCTGAAAGAAGATGTAGCTGAGCTCCTCTCCATTTTGGTCCAATTTCAAATCCATCTTCTGTTACATCATTGTCAATATTGTCATTATATTCATTGATAATGTCTTCCATTCCTGGATTTTGGTCAAGAAGATATCCTATCAGAAGATCAGTGCAAAGCTTTATCAACCGATCTTACTTTTCAAGCGATTCTGGTTATAAAATGTCAAACTTTGTGTGAAATCAATACTTATATTTTCAAAAATAGGCATTGGAATTTCATACAAATACATCCTCCATCTTTTACTTATCCTCTGAAATCTTGCCAGGTCATATATATCAAAATACTATAAAATCCATTTTTTAATCACTCAAAATTGCTCCAAATCCCTCTCAGAACCCTCCAAAATCAATTTTTGACCTACACTGTAAATCTTATAAATTATATCTTCTTTTATATTCAACTTTCCCCTCCTCACTTCCATTTCCTAAAATTTAAAATATTTCAATAAATCCTATCGAAACTGGGGTTTTGGGGTTTTGGGGTTTTGGGGTTTTGGGG